TGCTGTAAAGTAGCTTCTGAATAAACCTTAATATTGTCTGTCAGAGGCCCAGCAGGTATGAAGGTGCTGTATGGAGCGTGCCAGGCTTGGTTTCAGTAATGTAGGAGTAACACAGCCTGCACTGGGAATTAAGCAAATCAGTGGCCTGGAGTATTTTTTACTAGCTCAGGGCCAAGTGCATAGTTTCCACTGGATTTATGCTGTTGATTGTCAGGGTAAGGTAGTTTCAAGTCTTAACATGGTATTCCTGCAAAAGGAAGAGGTCAAACATGTTGCTTCATTTGCTTTAAAGTCAGGATACATACTACTGAACAAGGCTGTTGTTCTATGTCATTATTCTTTCCCTGAATATTATCTTAAGTTCTGTGAAAACCTGAAGTCTCAGGGCTGAGAATAAATTAAGTATAACTTTAATAGCTTCTTTAAATACCTTTAAGGCCCTCCTGCAGTTCTTGCTTTCATGGGCTTTTCTTTTTTTATCTGTAGCTTATTTTTACATGGCGAGGTTTAAACAAGATCTAGCAAATGCAAGAGTTTGAAGACAAGAGTAGTTAGCTGACAACCAGGAGCTGTTGGTCTAACTGAGCAACCCCTCTCTATTAAGAGCGTGCTGAGGAATATCTGATTTTGCATGTCCCAAAACATCCCTTTGTGGAGCATCTATGAGAATTAGTCCAGGTTACTTCATTAAATCAATGTAAGGGACAAATCTTTCAGGCTTTGTTTGAATTGGAGCGCACTGCTGTGGAAACAGGAGATGGCAAGGAAATGTGAAAGAGTAGCAATGTGCTGAATTCACTTTCACATACACTGGTTTTAGTTTATTCATAGAATCATAGAATAGTTAGGGTTGGAAAGGACCTTAAGATCATCTAGTTCCAACCCCCCTGCCATGGGCAGGGACACCTCACGCTAAACCATATCAATCAAGTTCTCGTCCAACCTGGTCTTCAACACCGCCAGGGATGGAGCATTCACAACCTCCCTGGGCAACCCATTCCAGTGCCTCACCACCCTAACAGGAAAGAATTTCCTCCTTATATCCAATCTAAACTTCCCCTGTTTAAGTTTTAACCCGTTACCCCTTGTCCTATCACTACAGTCCCTAATGAAGAGTCCCTCCCCAGCATCCCTATAGGCCCCCTTCAGATACTGGAAGGCTGCTAGGAGGTCTCCATGCAGCCTTCTCCAGGCTGAACTGCCCCAACTTTCTCAGCCTGTCTTCACATGGGAGGTGCTCCAGTCCCCTGATCATCCTCATGGCCCTCCTCTGGACTTGTTCCAACAGTTCCATGTCCTTTTTATGCTGAGGACACCAGAACTGCACACAATACTCCAGGTGAGGTCTCACAAGAGCAGAGTAGAGGGGCAGGATCACCTCCTTCGACCTGCTGGTCATGCTCCTTTTGATGCAGCCCAGGATACGGTTGGCTTTCTGGGCTGCGAGCTCACACTGCTGGCTCATGTTCATTCTCTCATTAGCCAACACCCCCAAGTCCTTCTCTGCAGGGCTGCTCTGAATCTCTTCTCTGCCCAGCCTGTAGCTGTGCCTGGGATTGCTCCGACCCAGGTGTAGGACCTTGCACTTGGCATGGTTAAACTAAATGAGGTTGGCATCAGCCCACCTCACAAGTGTGTCAAGGTCCCTCTGGATGGCATTCCTTCCCTCCAGCGTATCAACCGAACCACACAGCTTGGTGTCATCGGCAAACTTGCTGAGGGTGCACTCAATCCCAGCATCCATGTCAGCAATGATGATGTTAAACAAGACCGGTCCCAACACCGATCCCTGAGGGACACTACTCGTTACTGGTCTCCAGCCGGACATTGAGCCATTGACCACAACTCTTTGTGTGTGGCCATCCAGCCAGTTCTTTATCCACCGAGTGGTCCATCCATCAAATTGATGGCTCTCCAATTTAGAGACAAGGATGTCGTGTGGGACAGTGTCGAATGCTTTGCACAAGTCCAAGTAGATGACATCAACTGCTCTACCCCTGTCCATCAGTTCTGTAGCCCCATCATAGAAGGCCACCAAATTGGTCAGGCAGGATTTTCCCTTAGTGAAGCCATGCTGGCTGTCACCAAGCACTTTGTTGTTTTTCATGTGCCTTAGCATGCCTTCCAGGAGAATCTGCTCCAAGATTTTGCCAGGCACAGAGGTGAGACTGACTGGTCTGTAATTCCCTGGGTCATCCATTTTCCCCATCTTGAAAATGGGGGTTATATTTCCCTTTTTTCCAGTCATCGGGAACTTCACCTGACTGCCATGATTTCTCAAATATGATGGCCAGCGGCTTAGCAACTTCATTCACCAGCTCCTTCAAGACCTGCGGATGGATTTCATCAGGTCCCATGGACCTGTGCATGTTCAGGTTTTTAGGATGGTCTCGAACCAGATCCTCTCCTACAGTGGGCCCAAGGTCTTCATTCTCACAGTCCCTGCATCTGCCTTCCAAGACTTGGGTGGTTTGGTCAGAGCCTTTGCCAGTGAAGACTGAGGCAAAGAAGTCATTCAGACCCTCAGCCTTCTCCAAATCCTGTGTAGCCAGTTCTCCCAAGAGCTTCCTGAGGGGGCCTGCATTCTCCCTTGTCTGTTTTTTATTTGCTATGTACCTGTAGAATCCCTTCCTGTTATCCTTAATACCCCTAGCCAAGTTTAATTCTAACTGGGCCTTAGCTTTCCTAACCTGGTCCCTAGCATCTTGGACAACATCCCTGTACTCTTCCCATGCCACCTGTCCTTGCTTCCCCTTATTATAAGCCTCTTTTTTCAATTGAATTTTCCTCAGCAGCTCCTTATCCATCCAAGGAGGTCTCCTGGCCCTCCTGCTGCACTTCCTTCTGGTTGGGATGCAACACTCCTGAGCTTGTAGCAGGTGATCCTTGAATATCAACCAAGAGTCTTGGGCCCCCCTGCCCTCTAGGGCTGTATCCCATGGAACCTTACTAAGCAGGTTCCTGAAGAGGCCAAAGTCTGCTCTCTTGAAGTCCAGGCAGTGAGCTTGCTGTACACTCTTCTCACTGTCCTGAGGATCTCAAATTTGACCTCGTGATCGCTGCATCCAAGGCTGCCCTGGAGCATCACATTTCCAACAAGCCCTTCCCTGTTGGTGAGCATGAGGTCAGGCATGGCACCTCTCCTTGTTGGCTCCTTCTGGTACTGTGTATTCTTTCAAAAAAGATGTTCTATGTCATAGCACTTTCTCTCTAACCATGAAATCCACCTTTCTCATTAACGTAAGGAAATCAAGTGTAGCTGTCTTTTCCCTACCAGAGACCTCCCGAAGTGGGGGTATATATTTGAGGGTGTAAGCGAATATCGTGCTGCTGCCACTAAGTTTTCTTTGGGTTTGTTTGGTTTTTTTTTGATGATGGCCTTCCTGAAGTTTTAAAGTCCCTCCAGTCTTGACTGGTTAGAGAGAAACATGGCAAGACAGAGCAAGTTGAAGTGCTGGTGACCAAGTGAATGGCATTCCTTTCTTGTGGAAAGCGAATCTTGGTCTTGCCGTACTGCAGTGCTGATGATGGGGACAATGGGTCATACTGAAGATGAGTTTAATGAGCAGATCAGTAAAAAGCATCCATAAAGAGAGAAATCTAAGTAATTGTACTTGCTTTGGGGAAAGCACTGACACTTCAAACACCATTCCACAAAGATCTGTATCCCAGCCTCACAGAAAAAATCAAACCCGCATGTATCTCAGACAGGGCACAGCTGGAAGATTATTTGAAGCGTGTTAAGAGCCAGACATGAGGTCAGTTTCTTTTGGATGGGATCTGAATGAGTTTCAGTAGCAAACTCAATGCAGCCGTATGCAAAGGTGGACTTGTCTTGGTTTTACAGATCCTTAAATCCTCTTTAACCAAGAAAAGCTGAGAAAAAAATAGTGGCATCTCTTCCTTGTATTCATTTGATAGTATGCAGCAATTATTGCCTTACTCCACTTTGTCCCTTACCATAAAATACCTCTTCTGTCTCTGGTTAGGTGGATTTTTTAACAGCAGAAACGTGGATATACAGCTGTTTGACTACCCAGCCTGAAAGACCAAAGTGCTGACCCAGTGTCCTTTCTCACTTCTTGCTGAGCCCCTGGCCCTGGAACATGGTTTGGGTTGAGAGTCTGGCTTAAGGGCATTAAAAACAGGGTGGGGGGAAAGCTAATGATTACAACAAACACTTTAGAAATGGGAGATGAAAAGTCACAAAATGCTATGTAAAGAATGCATTTTATGGAATGCAGTTTGCCTGCTTTTATAAATTGTAATGGAAGTTTATTGCATAATGCATCACATTTTAAAGAATTTTCAGAAAAATGAACTGAGATCTTTCCGTCTCAGGTACTCCAGGAGTCAAGAAGGCAGGTGGTTTTGTAGTTATCAGTGTTTCTAGCTGGAGTTACAGTTGCTCACTGTCAGGTTTCTGGTGTCTCAGAGAATGTGGAGAGCTGGAGTGGTGAGGAATGCTGTCACTTTGAATGAGCAGTGCTAGTACAAAGTGTGCAAAAAGTGTTTTTCCAGCTGAGAGCTGTCTTGCAGTGTTCCACCTTTGCCGTCCCTCAAATTCCCTTTCTGCAGGTGGCAGTTAGCTGTATGATGCAGCAGATTGTTAGTATACTCACATTAGAGTAGCTCCTTCAGGCACAGTGCCGCTCTGCTGTCACAGCTGTTTGTAGGAGGAAAGAGACTGTCACTCTCCCAGTACTTTGCAGTCTTAACTGGCAAAAGGGCCCTGGAAACAGAGCAGCTCAGTCTCCAGTTTCTTAAGGCCGTTCAGAACTTCCAGTGTTACTTGAAAAAAGTGAGTTCAAATACACTTTTTAAGAAACTATCTTTTGCTTTAACAACAACAATAATAATAAAGTCACTAAGGGGAGGGAAGGCAGGAGGAGCAGTGCAAACAAATGCAAGAGTTCAAGTAAACCAGTTGCTTTCAGGTTTCTGTAGCTGATCATCAACAGTAAAGGTAATTTTTCTTCTCTTTTTTTAATCTCTTGCAGGAAGTCCAAGGGAAAGCCAAATGGTAAAAAGCCAGCACCAGAAGAGAAGAAACTTTACCTAGAGCCAGAATACACAAAATCCAGAATTACTGACTTCGAATTTAAGGAGCTAGTGATGTTACCACGAGAAATAGACCTCAACGAGTGGCTAGCCAGCAACAGTGAGTATTGTGATTGTACATCTCTGATCTTACTGTCCACACCCAAGCAGGCAGTCATTCACTCTGCTCCTTTTTACTGCTTTTGGTGCTTGGAAAAACACTCAATGACTATTTATGCTTACTGCATAATGCCTGTCATTATACCTTGAATAGTAATTAAGCTGTCTTACGTATAAACCAACTGTGCTCAGCAGCAAGGAAGCCCTGATGCGTTTTCTCCTTCCAGCTGCCTCACTGTGGCGCTGAGGGCGTAGAGTTTTTGATCATTTTTTTGAGGACTCTCAGATTCCCTTTGACTATTTGCTAAACTGGCTGGTTCCGCATGTTTCTGACTCAAGCTATTGATCTTCCAGAAACACTGTAAAAATGCTAGTTTATTAAGACTTGCATGCAAAGCAAGTTATGCCTAAAGCCAGAAGTTTTGAAGTCTTTTGGTTGTATTTCTTTTCCCCACACCTCCCAAGCTTTGGTAGAATTTGCATGAATTCGAACTGTCGTCAAGCTGGAACTCAGACTGTGACTGAATGCTGTATTTGTGCATCCCTGTTCTGATTTGCAATACTTGCCTGTGCTTCTGCTTCACCTGCCAGGCCTAACCTGCAGCTGTGACACACTCTTGTCTTCATTTTCAACAGTATGTGGTAGTAGCAAGAAACTACCTTTAACTGAACACTAGAAAAGTTCATAGAAACTCATTAAAAAAGAAGTGAGGTGTCCCCTGAAGAGTATTAAGATGTTAAACCATCTCGGATTTTTAAACAGTTGAAATGTACTAGTTTTCCTGCTGATTTTTTTAAAAAGAGATATGTCATGAGAACGATGAATGCTCTTTTCTGGTCACTGCACATTTAAAATCTGACTTGAAAAGGATATAGCAAATTGTTTGCTTTCAGCTTGTAGTAGTGTGCTACTGTAAAGGTGAGGCTGATGATGAAGACACTTTCCAGTCTTGCTGCTTAATGAGTAACAAGAGCTGATGCATCATGGTGCTTTAATTTTAAATGAAAACAAGAGCTTTCTTTCTGTGCAGCTCTTTGTTTTGCTGTTCATCATTAGACTTATTTAGCCAAATCATGTTTAAATTTATATGCAAGCTCAAAACTCTAAGGTCACTTCACTTTGCTTTATTTGAATAATTGTCCAGCGTTTGAAAGTATTTTAGTTCTGAATTTCTTTCCTTTGTGTTTTATTTTTCAGCAACAACTTTTTTTCATCACATCAACTTACAGTATAGTACAATCTCAGAATTCTGTACAGGAGAGTCGTGTCAGACCATGGCCGTGTGCAATACGTAAGTCAATGCTTAAAGTTACAAGGTTTCCATGAAATCGTCAAGAGTCACATGGGGGAGGATGTTGGTGCTGGATGGCACTGGGCAAGTGTTCTAAAGCAGATCTGCACTTAGTTGAGAACATGGCAGCTGTACATCCTCTTCTCTCGCCTCAGTAGTGAAGGGTGGTGGAAGTCTGTTTCTGTGGGGGACCAGAGGAATGAGAACCTTGGAGTTCTGAGAACCTGTTCTGAGCTGGTTTTATAAGGTCAGATCAGAGAGGCAAATTACCCTGTGCTTAGCTTTTGGGGAGAGGAGAAGAGCAGGGCAAAACTGTCCTTACTGGTAACAGTGTGGGATTTCATAGAAGGCCAGGGAGGATAAAAAAATTGCGAAAACCTCAGAGGGTGCTTTTGATGGCTGGAATGCTGACAGAGCACCAAGCTGCTGACAGATAACCTCTAGCCTGATGTGAGCTGCTGGATTTCTGCCGGAGCCCCTGGGCACAGAGGACGATGCAAGTGGCAGCTTTGCAAAGAGTAAGGAAAACGTTTTGGTTTGGCACTTCCCTCCTGTAGGACTTAGGAGACTTTTTTTAACATTGACTAACTATCACTTATGAAAGGAAGTTTTGTAGTTTTAATGTACATGGTGAATATAAGAAAAAGCTACCATAACCCCCTGCTCTTGATTAGCACAGTCCAACATGATGGAATATGAGATCTAGTCGAGTATGAATAAGCTTGTTGTGTTGTGTTGGGGTTTTTTCTCTAGCACATGTGCTGATAGTCCTTTTCTTCCCTCCTCCTGCATTTTTTAGGATTAATTTATTTGAGATGGATTTTAAAGCAGAAGACTGAGCAGTTAATCTTACAGTACATCAAATATCCCAGGGAACGTATGCAACAGAACCAGAGCTCTGTATTTTATCTCTGACAATAATTACATAGTGCTTAGAAAGGAATCCTTGCTTAATATACTGGGCTATCTTGCACACTTGAAATTACTATTAGGGGCTTTCTTTGACAGCACTGAAGAATCTTTAGTGTACAGAGGATATTTTTGCATGTAGAAGTTGGAAAGATAACTGCCAGTAGACAATTAAAGGCCATGCTAGGGACTTTGAAAGCAGGCTGGAACACAAAGTAATAAATCTCTGCTGGACCAGATTTTATCAAAAGGAGACAGCATGTCTTTAAATGAGAAATGGTCATCAGTAAGATGAGTACTTCATTGACTCTTGCTCCCAAGTTTTCTGATGTTTAAATTCCTGATATAGCACTGGCTGTCCAAAGGACTGAGTTTAACTATCCACTTGGCTGATAGGAAATAGTGGCTAAAAGGAAGTGTTGGTAGGGAACCTGCGTAAGTGTCACTGTTCTGCTCTAGGGAGTCTTAAAGAATTTTGAGTTCTTTTTAGGCAGTTCAGGCTGCACAATGAAGAAAGGAAGTGCCTGTAGGCGGCTCCCACTGTACTCTGTATTTTTAGTGGTTAAGACCAATAGCACAGTGTTCCTATCCTTTGTTTTGGAAAACTGAAAAACTGTGCTGTTTGGGAATAACTGGAAGCATGTCTACACTTGAGTGAAGCACTTGAAATGGTTTGTGTTTAGCTAAATCATAACTTAAGTAAAGTATCTTCCTGTACTTGGGAGCAGATGACTGATTCATGTTTGCAAACTGCTGGCTGCCTGTTTCATTCTTATATCAAGTGTGTGGGTCTGTGAAAAAAAACATGGTGGGATCATCTGGCTACAGCTGCATACCTCAATGCAGTTCAGCTTTGAAGGCCCTGTTCATAATTGTGTTCTCCAAATGGCAATTCTGGATAATCCTTATGTTCCTTCCACCTTTCCTAGCTCTTCCCTTTTGGAAGAGATATGTCCAAATGGAGCATTGAGAACTGTCTCAAAGATGCTCATTTGTTCATATCCAGTTACGACTATGACAAAGCCGTATGTTGCTTCCCTGCCCCCTTCCTTTTTCTTTTACTCCTTTCTTTTTTTCTCCACCACCCCCACCCCCCTTATTTTATTTTTTTTTAATCTTGTCCTAATGAAGTAAGGACATGCTCACTGTGTTGGAGAAACATCCATTGATACGATTTATTGTGCCCCTGACCTGTCTCTAGTATATATAGAGTGTACCTCCTAAACATCAGAGTTGGTTGCTGATTAACCTGATGGACACTCCAGATTTGACCTGTGGTGGCTGTGATTTGTACAGCATCTACCTACTTCAGACTGCCACAGAATTCTAGTATCTTGGAATAAGGGTGCACTTCAGCATTTTTTTTCAGTGCTGATTTCTCTAGGTAGCTCTGTATGAAAGTCTGCATTCTGTTCCTTTTTTATGTTTCCCTGCCCAGTTCTCTTAAGGTGTGTTTTGGATCACACCATTCTGGTTGTACCTAGGGAAGGCTTTTTATATTTATGGTTGAGATACTGAAGTGACTGTTGAGAACAGGTTACTTGTCCAGTTATTTTGTATTCAAAGGCACTGCAAATACTCAATCCTAAGTTTACAGTATTTGCTGACAAAATAAATACCAGTTGCAGTTAAATATTTGAGGTAAGGTTTTAACATCTCAGAGCTAAGTTCCAGCCAACTGACAAACTGAAGACAGATGCAGCTTTTAGCCCTCTGTCAGCTATATGAGATAGCACAGCCATCTGCACACAATGAGGAGGAGAATTTCTGCTTAGACCACTAAGAGACATCTGACCAAAATCTAATCGCCTTGTAGATGGGAGCATTTGCCAGCAAGGTGGGATAATGCCAAAAGAAATTCCAGAATGGCCACTTATTTTCAAAGTTTAATGAGGGTAGCATGAATATAACTTTGGGAATTACTTTATTTCACTCATTAATATGCTGATGACTTGCTGTAAAACAGGCACTGTGTTTTAACACAGTATTTACTATTTAAATTTAGTATGCTTTGTAGCTTATTACGCAAACTAAAGCACCTTGAGCTGTTAAGTGATTTTGTAGCTGACATCTGGGCAAAACTTCTCAATGTGCTGAAATGAGTGGAGTAGTTAAGAGCCTCTGTAATCTTACCATTTCCTTTCTCATATCTGCCTTGCCCTTAGTGTCTCTGCATATGGAGGATATTTCCTTCCAGAAATCTTAGCTCAAACTTGCATGTTTTGTGTTTTCTTATATTTAAGTTCCCTGAGCTGTGTGCTTCTTTCTCTCTTCCTTCACCCCATCTAAATGTTGCTTTGCTCCATCAAACCACCAAAGGTATTCTGAGTTGCTGCTGAGTATTACTGCCCTTGCATTTGGAAGTTTGCTGTCCTGCTTTCTTCACAACCCATCTTTCACTATTTCTAGAAGGCCTGTCTCTTCCTTCTTTCCACACAGCATCTGCCAGAAATTTTTCTTATATAATGATGTAACATTTGTTCTGCCCTGGCTTCTGTGTCAACACTTCCCCAGAGTGTTTTACAGGCAAAGTGATAAAATACATACATATATTAAGATGCAGTATTGTGACATCACGTGTACTATATTATTTGCATGATAGGCTTTTCTCCGTTAAACTCATAGTCCTTTCTCCCTGTGATTTAGAGTGGAGCTGCAAATTCCTCATGCTGTCCATACTGGCAAAGTTTAAATCTGACAGAATTATCACATAGGAAATAATCAAAATCTGCATCACCTGAGCACTTTCTGAAAAGTGCCTTTGTGTCATCTTGTCCTTTCTGCTTCCATTGCCTAATTCAGGACTGTACTGTCATGGTGCCAGTGGTGGAATGCAGTTAGGCTGCTGTACCCAACAGAGCCCTTCAATGGCCCCAACCTGCTTCCTGTCTAGTTAAAGGAGATAACTCCCAGCACATGGGTGGGAGCTGAGCACCAGGCATGAGATGTTCATGGCATGTCAGTGGTTCCTCTCTTCCTCCAAGACCTGTGAGGACTATGTTCACAGAACTTGAAACATAAGGAAGACACATGACTAATATACAGGACAATCCTTGCAGTTATCCCCTTACTTTAAATGATTCTACTTTTAAATTCCTATTTTGCTTAATTAGCCTAATTTTCAAGGAAAGACAGGGTATGCAGTGGGATGTTACAGCAAATTTACTCACGTTTTCATGTAAGTGAACTTGTACAGTTGCCAAACTGTTTCTTTTATCCAAACTCCAATTATCCAGATTCATTTTTGTGCCTAAGGGCAACTTTAAACTATGCTTTCTATCTTGCAGTTGAGGATTTCTGCAGCATGAGAAAATTGCTGTGGTACAGACAGTCCAGTCTGCCTCTGCTCTTGGCATTGTCTAAGACCCAAAATAAGTCTGAGCTGCCTAGAACTGTCTTACTCCAGCTTACTGCAGGACTAGACAAATAAGGTGGCTTGGGCTAGAGCACTGCATTGTGTAATTCCTTACATGTGGATTGTATAAAGGAGGTAAGCAGTGATGAAGAACACAGCCTATGCCTAAGGGTCAAAATCCTAGTTTTGATGCCTGATGTAGCTCCACAAAGAGCTTTTAACTCCTGCTGGATTTGTCTACTTGCTCACCTTTTTATGCAGTCAGACATGCTCTCTAGTAAACAACAGTGACCAAGCACCACATGCTGAAAATGAGCTGAAAGACAAATTCTAAACCTTACATGTCTGCAGAACTGGTTTTCAGTTGCCTTTCCTCTCTTAGGGCTTGAACCACTCTATTTCTGCTGCTTCCCATTGGCTTTCCTATGGCTTGGGGCATGAACAGCATTGTTGTCTTCACCCCACTGCCCTCAGGTCCCTGAAGAGCCTTTCAGGGATTGAAAACACAATGTAAATGAAAACTTTACAGTCACCATGTAACACTTTTTTTTAGTGGCTTCAAGACACTTCTGGTGGCCAGTATACCTAAAACTTCACTTTCCAAGTGACATATGTACATCTATCCAGTTCAGTGCAGTCTAGTCCTGCTAGGCACAGGAAAAACAATCTGCAGTCCTTTACCTTCCACCCCACCACCCCCTGCCACGCCCCCCCAAACCAAAAGTATGCAAAGGTTGCTAAATGTTACACTTAAGTGATATTTTGTGTACAGTGAGGCTTGATTTGGTGAGCAATTTCAGGGAACAGATCATTAGCTGAAGAGCAGCAGAGTTGGAGTTGGCCAGGCAGAAAATGGATTTGTGGGCTCATGTGTTGAGTGAGGTGTCTTTCTAGCCAGTTCTGATGCTCAAACCACTTTCAGCCTTGTTTCCAAAGACAGAAAAACCCCACCTATGCTTCATTCTAGGAAAACCAATACGATGGATTTCTTGCCAGTGCCGTAATTCTATAGGACTTTGCCTGGAGCTTGGGCTGTTTGAAGGAAGAATTCAGGAACTGGAACTCAAGACACTTCAAATGTGACACAGGGAAAAAAAAAACAAAAAAAGTTTTGCCAAATTCCTTACCTGTGGAACATTTCTCACTGTGTGCCTAATGCAGTGATGGATACGTGCTCCTGCTAATAGTCAGAGGTGCTTTCATTAACCATGGCTTAAAGAGAAAAAAGGAACAAGCCTTCAGTACTTTTGTAGCCTTCAGGTTCTCCATTGGGTGAGGAATCACCACAGTTAATCAAGATGATGATGGCTGATTAAATTATGGTTGCATTTGAAGAGCGAGGCAATATGGTAATGTCTCCTGTTCCTTAAGATCCAACAGGGTTATTTACTGGTGACAGAGTCCAACATAAATTCAGGTGTTTTGGAGAGTCTTTAACCAGAGGAACAAGAGTTCTAAGACATGCTGGTAGGAACGTTTAAAGGGTCCTGAAAACCCTCCCCAGACTGGATTTTGGAATGGGATTTGTAGTGCTTTAAAGTGCTGCCAGTACTTCAGAGCACCAGCTTGAAAACGCTGGTGTTTTGGAGCCACCTTCTGTCTGTTTAATACTACTACAAGACCAATTTATCTTGTGCACTGTTAAGCATCAAAAGATCAGCGGTTGTGCAATGTTGCTACCCTTTAAAACGAGTTAGATAATGCTTTCCTGTATAGTACTACATAGACAGTACGTAAACCCTCAGCCTGTCATTGACGGGGTGTTACCTCTGCCTCACAAGAGCTCTTCTTCTTGGAGAACAGTCAGCAGGCATTCTGCGCTTAGCAGTGCTACCTGCACTCTGGACTAAATTGATCAGGAGACACAAGATTAGCTAACAGAAATTGAAGAGGTTTAATGTACAAAGATACCATGAAGTGAATCTCTTCTGTAGCAGTTATGATGTATTTTGGTAATGTTGCACCTGTTGTTTTATATTCAACACTAACCTCTTAAAGGAGTTTTGCTGAGGAGCTGAGGTATGATGTGGTGACACTGTCAATTCTCTCCACAGACAGTACTACTGGTATGATGAGCGGGGAAAGAAGATCAAGTGCACTGCTCCTCAGTATGTTGACTTTGTCATGAGCTCAGTGCAGAAACTAGTGACAGATGAGGATGTCTTTCCAACAAAATACGGTATGTCTGCTTTTGAACAGGTGCTTCCAGTGGCTCTTTGCAGATGCCCTAAGTAAGGTGGAATTTGCATTCGGTATATGTGTTAATACCACACAGCCTTCTCACTTGTTTGATTGATATTTTGTGGATTGCTTTTTCCTCAAGGATTTTGGGATCTTCTAGCCTGTATTCAGAAAGGATAAAAGTCTGAAAACTGTCAGCATGAATGTGTTCAATACAGCCTGCTTCTAGTAAAATTTAATCTTGTTGATTTACTATTTTCTTTATAGCCCCAACGCATTAAGGGGGAAATTGGATTGCCAGGAATGTGTCTTGTCTTCCTTGCCCAATCAGGCTTGTCTCACAGATGTTTGCAGGCTCCCTCCCTCCCAAAGATTTAATGTGATTTTTAAGAACAGAAAAGCAATAAGAAAGTAATTTTAACTCTCACTTGTATCCTAACAAGATTGCTATGTGCACGGCCTTTGGTAGGGGGAGGAGGGTTCAAAAATTTTGACCTTAAGTTACTGTAGGTGGGCTTAATCAGGACTAAAACCAGCACTTCAGTTGGGGAACTGGGATGTTACAATATAGCAAACATTAAGCCTTTGCTTACAAGTACCTTGATCTGGAGAGAGGCAGTGTCTAATGAGAGTGCCTAGTAGGACAGCTGCAGTTGACTTTTTTTCTTTTCAGTATGCTTGTTCAAGGGCAGTGAGGGCGTTTCAAGAGATTTCTCCGTGTGACCAAGGTGCACTTCAGACCAGTAACATAATTCATATTGTGCATCACACATGGGACCACAGGCATTGTTATTTGCTTGCCTCAGTTTCACTTTTAGTATTACCAAAGTAGTTGTCCAATAATTGGCTTTTACTATGCAGGCACAGGACTGCTCCAGCAGCGCAGTGTCAGCTGTGCCTCATAGGAGGCACCCCGTATTTCCTTCCATTTCTTTTCCCATTTGATAGAATGTCAACAGTGAAATGAGGGAAGTCATTATAAACAGTCAAGCTGCTACACACTACCAAGCCCTGTACCTTAGCTTCCATTTCAGGATTTGTGCATTGGTCTCCTGAGCATTGTGGACTTACAGGGGAAAAATCTGCTTGACAATCTAGATAAGGACCTCCTTATCTAGATTTTTGAACCCTTAGGGTTTGAAACTTCAAATGAAAATGTTTAAAGAATCTACTTAGATTCTTCCCCTGAATTTCTGTGAAAAAGTGAGGATGATACAGGGTGCACAAGTTGTCTGCTGTATAAGGTGGGCTAGTTGCTCTTACCCACAGCTCAGCCCAAACAAATGCTGCTGTAGGTCTGAAGGGGAGCAGCTGACACTATATATCATGGTGTTTTCTCTGTCTTTGTTTCAGGCAAGGAATTCCCAAACTCATTTGAATCCCTAGTGAAGAAGATCTGCAAGTATCTGTTCCATGTGCTGGCCCATATCTACTCCTCACACTTTAAGGAGACTTTGGCACTGGAGCTGCACGGACATTTAAACACGCTCTACACACACTTTATCCTATTCATCAGGGAGTTCAACCTCGTGGACCCTAAAGAGACCACCATCATGGATGACCTCACAGAGGTCCTCTGCAGCAGCAGCGGGAGCAGCAGTAACGGGAGTGGCAACGGGAGTAGCAACAGCGCAGGAGCACAGAACCATGTGAAAGAGAGATGAGCCTTCCTCCAGGATCAAAACAAACATTAAAAACAATATTATATGTTCTGTGTGTATGTGTATGTATATGTTCAGATATACATACAGACATATACAGCAATGAAAGCTGAAAGAAATTCTGCTGCCACCACAGGATGTGTAGTCACGGGACTGTACGGAGCTTTGGTGTAATGTGCCACTTGGCAAGAAGTTGCACCGATTTTATTTTCTGTCCACTCCTCCTTTTACCTGTTCAGATGGATGACGAGTGCTGTTTTTAGAGAAAAGCCAAGCTTGAGTGGGGCCACTCCTGGTTATTTTGGTTGTTGGTTTGGTTTGGGGGTGGTTGTTTTGGTTTTTGTTTGGTTTTTTGTTTTTTGTTTTTTGTTTTTTGTTTTTTTTTTTTTTTTGGTTTTTTGTTGGTTGTTGTTTTGCTTTTTTTTCTCTGGTCTTGAGTACAAGCCCTTTGTCTTTCTAGGATGGTGGTCCTGCCATTTAAAAATATCTATTACAATATAAGAAATGACTTTTACTTTGAAGTGGCTTAAAATGCAGGTTGGTTTGGATTTTGAGGGGGGAGGGGTGGGGGTGTTTTTTTGGTTTGGTTTTACATAGACTGCCCCTTACCCTTCCAGGAACTCCCCAGTTGAGTGCATCTTGCCCTTTGTTAGCTTGGAATGGGAAGAAACCCCTGGCTTGACTAGAGCAGCAGCTAGGGGCTTGCTACATGTTGAAAGGGCATAATTCTCCAGTTGTCCCATATACCTGGTCACAACATGTGAACATGCAAGAGGATTCACAAGCCTTTCTGCTTATTGCTCCTACAACATATATACTCTTTTCTCTGCTCTCCCACCTCCTCTTTTCCCAGGCACATCTCTACAAATAGTAAGATCACTGGAATCCCAAAACCCATGTGCAAGAGCCACCACCATTTGCTTCCCACTGAACAGAGGCCCAGGGAAGGGGGAAAAAGGTACATTGAGTCAGTCACTGCCTGTGCTAGAAAGATGGCTGTTGGCATAAAATTATATTGTTGGCTTATTTTAGTTCATCTGTTCTATAATAATAAAAACAAATCTATCAGCCACAAGCTTGGTTTTACATTTGCAGCGTCAAAAGTCGATGGAATCCACCCATACACCTTCCCTTGCACCACTGAACACTGGTGGCCCTGCTATCAGCTAGCTTTATAACTAATAATTAATGTTCCACCTTGTTATTCTACATTTTTAATCAATTCCTTGCTCTTCCTGGTAGTGCTGAGAACCTCCTCCTCCTATATCTGAAGATAAGCACTCCAAAGCAAAGCACCACTTGGGAAAGGAGCAACTGTCCTGCATGTACATCCTTAAATTTTGCAGATGCAGTGGGCTCCTGGATATTTTGCAGCAACTAGTGTATTACAGTTATCTGTGGATATAGTACTGTATCAGCGTTGTATGAGGACAGTGATACTACACTCTCCTTCACCTTTCCACTTAGGAAAATGCCAGATTTTGTTTACAGCTGTGCTTCTATCAAACCTGTGGCAGCCTCTGAGAATTGTCAGTATCCTGAGGTACATACATCATTAATGACTGACCTGGCATGAGTCCTAGAAGGTTTTCCTGAATGAGGTCTGCCACTCCCAAAAGTCAGTAGAGAAAAAGAAAGGAGAACAAGCGCAAACAAAAAAAAAAAGAGAAGGAAAAGCACAAGCAAGAAGCAAAAGCTTGTGAAGCATGTGAAAAGAACAGATAAAGGAAGAAAAATGTGCAAGTGAGAAAAAGAGCAAGAAGTCATAAATGTGAGAAAAAAAGAGCAGAAACGCATGAGCACAGAAGAAGGGAAGTGGAAAAGTGAGCGAGAGAAAACAAACTAAAACTTCCCAGGCTTGTCCTGTCTTGTTTGTTTCAAGGTTGCAGGTACCTTGTAAACCTGCAGGCAGATGTGCTGGAGTCTCACTATCCTGCTCATCTGGGGGCTGTTACACAGTCTGTTTAAAAGCACTCCTTCCCATCATGTCCTCCTGCTATGGCATCTATATCCAGATTAATATTCCCATTCAGTCTCCGTTCATGCTTGTATGAGCCTTTCCATTACAGTTCCTTATGCTAATGTCTGAAGGGAAAACCAGAGGTCAGCAGAAGCTATCAGACAAACGGCAGCTGTAGGAAAGACCCCTGAGCTACTTGCAATGAGAGCATATGGTAGCGTTCATGGTAATAAAGCAAGAACAACTACCCACACACAAGTATTTCAGTAATTTATTACCTACTTGTAACAAAAAAAAAAACAAAACCAACAAAACATTTGCAGTCTTAATTCTAAAATAACATCCAGGAATGAGACACTGTTTGGAAAGCGTTGACTTCAACGGGGTCAGCTCAACTCGAAAGAGTGACTTACTGTCGTGGTTTAAAACCAGTCAGGTAACTCGTTCACTCACTCCCCCCCCTTCTTGCCCTCCCCCTGCTCCTGGAGAGACGGAGAGGAGAATCAAAAAGAATGCAACTCCTACGGGTTGAGATAAGAACAGTTTAGTAACTAAGGTATAACACAAATCACTACTGCTACCACCAATAATAATGATAAAGGAAACAACAAGGGAAGAGAATACAACACCTCAGCACCAGCCGACTGATAACTCCCCCCCCCAGCCCAACCAAGCAGCTCTCCATTACATCCTGGGCATGACATGCTGTGTTATGGAATACCTCTTTGGTCATTTTGGGTCAGGTGTCCTGTCTCTGCTTCCTCCTGGCAGAACATGAGGCTCACAAAGTCCTTGGCCAGACTGAAACATTTGAGCAGTAACTAAAAACATCAGTGCTATCAGCACTGTTCCCAGGCCGAAAGTCAAAAACACAGCACTGCACCAGCTACTAAGAAGAAAAAATGACTGCTATTGCTGAACCCAGGACACTTACTTAACTGTAACTCTTTAAATTTCAGATAATAACAAATGCAAGGTTACCTATACCTTAGCTTCCCCTAGTAGAACTGCTAGAACCTCCTAAGTAGTCTGGGAACATACAGGTTGGTGCAAAGCAGCAAACCATTAGTTCAGCTACCAGGAGAACAGTGAAGAACCTGAACGTGCACAAGTCTATGGGACCCGATGAAATCCATCTGCGGGTCTTGAAGGAGCTGGCGAAGGACTTTGCTAAGCCACTGTCCGTCATATTTGAAAAATCATGGCAGTCAGGTGAAGTTCCCGATGACTGGAAAAAGGGAAATATAACCCCCATTTTCAAGAAGGGGAAAATGGATGACCCGGGGAATTACAGACCAGTCAGCCTCACCTCTGTGCCTGGCAAAATCTTGGAGCAGATTCTCCTGGAAGGCATGCTAAGGCACATGAAAATCAACAAGGTGCTTGGTGACATCCAGCATGGCTTCACTAAAAGGGGAAATCCTGCCTGACCAATTTGGTGGCCTTCTATGATGGGGCTACAGAACTGATGGACAGGGGTAGAGCAGTTGATGTCATCTACCTGGACTTGTGCAAAGTGTTCGACACTGACTCACACGTCATCCTTGTCTCTAAATTGGAGAGACATCAATTTGGTGGATGGACCACTCGATGGATAAAGAACTGGCTGGATGGCTGCACAACCAAAGAGTTGTGGTCAATGGCTCAAAGTCCAGCTGGAGACCAGTAACGAGTGGTGTCCCTCAGGGATCGGTGTTGGGACTGGTCTTGTTTAACATCTTTGTCGGTGACATGGATGCTGGGATTGAGTGCGCACTCAGCAAGTTTGCCGATGACACCAAGCTGTGCGGTTCGGTTGATAGGCTGGAGGGAAGAAATGCCATCCAGAGGGACCCTGACATGCTGATGCCAACCTCATGAAGTTTAACCATGCCAAGTGCAAGGTCCTACAGCTGGGTCGGAGCAATCCCAGGCACAGCTACAGGTTGGGCAGAGAAGAGAAGGCTTTGGCGGTGTTGGTCCACGAGAAACTGAACATGAGCCATCAGTGTGGGCTTGCAGCCCAGAAAGCCAACCGTATCCTGGGCTGCATCAAAAGGAGCATGACCAGCAGGTTGAAGGATGTGGTCCTGCCCCTTCACTCTGCTCTTGTGAGACCTCACTTGGAGTATTGTGTGCAGTTCTGGTGTCTTCAACATAAGAAGGACAAGGAACTGTTGGAACAAGTCCAGAGAAGGGCCATGAGGATGATCAGGGGACTGGAGCACCTCCCATGTGAAGACAGGCTGAGAAAGTTGGGGCTGTTCAGCCTGGAGAAGAGAAGGCTGCGTGGAGACCTCATAGCAGCCGTCCAGTACCTGAAGGGGGCCTGTAAGGATGCTGGGGAGGGACTCTTCATTAGGGACTGTAGTGATAGGACAAGGGGTAAGGGGTTAAAACTTAGGGGAAGTTTAGGTTGGATATAAGGAGGAAGTTCCTTACTGTTAGGGTGGTGAGGCACCGGAATGGGTTGCCCAGGGAAGCTGTGAATGCTCCATCCCTGGCAGTGTTCAAGTCCAGGTTGGACAGAGCCTTGGGTGACATGGTTTAGTGTGAGGTGTCCCTGCCCATGGCAGGGGGCTTGGAACTAGATGATCTTAAGGTCCTTTCCAACCCTAGCTATTCTATAATTCTATTCTACGGTTCTATGAAATACATACCATATCACCTTTAGAAGAGCCTGCTGTTGTTTGTGGCAGCCAGCCCGAGTTTACTCTGCGGCCAGTTGATGTTCCTGAAAGCACAGATGCTCCTCTAAGCAGGGTAATCTTTTTTATATTTTACAAGCAGTTAACACCACAATAATAAGCCTATTTTAGTGTAGCCTATGTTGTTGGGGTTAGCAGTGGAATGAAGAAAACACTGAAATTGTGCCAACATTAATGTTCTTGTTCGGAGTAAATGTTACTATAAAGCTCAGCCTCAAGGCATACAAGTATATTTCAGAGGTTACTGATTTGTGCTATAGTAACATAAGTCAAAGAAGTGCCACTAAGTCTTCAAACTGGTTGGTGGCTGCCACTGAAGGTTGTCACTGACTTTCTACATGTGCAACATGTCACTGACTATCCACACTGTAAAGCACTGAGCCTGCATTGCCCCTGTGTTTAGGACAGGCTTAGGTCTAACACTGAGGAAATTGTCATGTTGTTGCCTTAAACAATTTACAAGAAGACATTTAAAATGCTGCCAGAACAACAGAGGCATCTTAACAGGGTTACATTCACACACACCCCTCCCCTTCCCTAACGATTATGACATACCCATACCATTGTTTAAGAATTGCTAAATAAATCTAAATACACCAGAAAAATAACCAAATGCTGATAGAACTGACATCTGAACTATCTACACACCCCACTCCCTCCCAGCATACATGCCCTTTGCAGGCCTTGCCTTGTCAAACTCCCAGAT